CCCCCCCGAGTAGGCCCCCTTCTCCAGGGTGCTCCGTCCTCCAAAAGGCCAGGCTGGCTGGGGAGGAGGGGCCGGGGCAGAGGGGTGGCACTCACCGTGGCCCCTGTGTAGGAGGGAAAACCTCCTGGTGTGGTTTTGCTTTGTACAGCCCTGTGCTGGCTTGGCCACCTGGGCACTGCCACCCAGCAAGCTACCCAGAGGAGGTGGCTAATGACAACCCTCGGGGCACTCTGCAAGCTGGTCAGGGTGTCAGTCAAGGGCACTAAATGGGGGCATCTGTGCACCCAGCCCACTTCCCTCATGCTGCCTTCCCTTGCCACCAGATTTGGAACTTTCAGACCCAGAGGAGGCCCCGGACTACGGTGCTGAAATGGGTGGAGGGATCGAGTTCCTGGCAAATGTCACACAGGACACCACGGCGACAGACTCCCCCTCAGGTGAGGGGCAGGCGGGCTGGCCCTCCTCAGGTCCCAGAAGTGAGCATGATCACTGGTCACTGGATGGGGACTTCTGGGCCCATGTGGGGTGTGAGTGGCAGGCGGGGTTCTCTGCTCCAGAGAAGGGAGCCGGGACTTGCCCTGCCTGCCACGTGTAGAGGGACGGCATGGGATGCAGAGCATAGAACCCGAGACCTTCCAGGTAACCTTCCAGGTGCTGGCTGCAGGACACGCTGGTGTGTGACCCCAGGGTGGCACCCCCCCCTCCCTGCTGCCCCGGCTTCACCTGGGGAGCTGACCAGCTGCTGCCCTTTCTCCTAGGGATTGACAACCCCGTGTTCTCCCCGGATGAGGACCTGAGCACCCTCTCCAGGGTGCCACCCTGGCTGTCACCAGGGGAGACTGTGGTGCCCTCCCAGAGGGCCCGTGTGCAGATACCCTGCTCGCCGGGCAACTTCCACCGCCTGGCACCCTTCCGCCTCAGCAGCAAGTCCGTGGACTCCTTTCTGCAGGCCGATGCCCCCGAGGAGCAGCCCCGCACGACCCTCCCTGAGTCCACGCACATGTAACTCCCCCCCACCCCCCCGACGCCTGCTCTTTCCTCAGCTCCTCT